CCACTCCTCTCAATAAGGTAACTTGCACATTTTATTATAGGAAATAAATAAACACCGGGTTCTTTATTCAAATAACTTAGTCTAAACTTAGCTGCTTTTCGGGTGCTCCTTTTTCGTAAGCTGCCAGGGAATGAATACTGATCCGGCAGTATCGGTGGATACGGATGTAGTAGGAATCTGTTAATATTCCCAGTGGTAATTATTAGTAAAGGTAACGATCAGGAAACTTTTTCAAGAGACTGATCTGGCAATCGATTTCAATTTCCCAAATTCAAGCTGATGCAAATACGCCTTTCGTAGGAATATTCTAACACCCTCCTAATAATCGAGGGTGTTTCCAACACAAAACAGACAAAGATCGTCCTCTGAGAATTGAGAGAAAATACTGACTATTTGCCCTTTTTATAAAAATCCTGCTTTTGCAGCGGTGGTTTCCAATATTGTCCCAAAATACTCCAAACTTCACAATATCAAAAAGGAACCACAGTTGGCTGAAAATTCGAAAATCCCTTCTAGGTAGTTAACGAGCGAAATAATTCAACCAGGCAATCAGTTCATTCTGCAATTCACGATCGAAAAATATCTTTTCGCTAAAATTTCCGTCCTTATCCTCATGTCCTTGGGTGTGAGAAAAAAAAAGGAACACAACCTATTTACCGACCTAGTCGGTGTCATAGGCGGGTTAGAAAGGTTTTAAATATACATAAATTCGCATGTGGAAATGAATAAACTAACCGATTATTAAAAGTATAAATAAATTGTTCAATTTATAACAAAGCAAAATTGTATCGTAACAAGTTCATACTGATTTTGGTATTAGTTCTATGTATATGTATATCAAGATTATGCCTACTGTAATATTTGTGAATATCATAATTAAAACAAATAGATTTTTCAAGATATGTTCCAGTTAAATCATCAACAATTTTATACACAAATATCATTGTCTATATATAGTTTTTTAGAGATTTTCTTATGTATGTATTGAAAATGTTCTTCAAATGTGAGAATAGAGTCCAGTTGAAACCCTAAGTATTTTACAGTATTACTTACTCTTATATTTTCGTCATTGATAGAAATATTTATCTGGTTTATATTGATTTTTTATATTTGTGAGGATCATGGCAGTAGTTTTACTCAAATTCGATTTCAATTTAATAATTTTTATATATTTGTCAACTTCTTGCAATATCACATTCATTTTCTACACAGCAGCATCCAGGCGTATATTACTACAAACTAAAAGAGTAGCATCTGCAAACAGGTTGATGAATTCACAATCGACATGTATATTAATATCATTTAAATATATAATGAATAGTAAAGAGCTCAAAATACTTTCCTGGGGTACTCCTTTATCGTTTAATATTCCATTTGAAATTGTACCATTGATTCTTACTCTTTGTTTTCTGCCATATAGTCTGAAGCATATGGTTCGGGAGCTACAAATTATTTGAGTTGAAAATGAGACACCCTGTATAACTTTTGAAACAATGATTTGCAGGAAAAATAAAAAAAGGTCAGCAATTATACAGCAGACCACATTTTGAAATATCTGTTCTAGAGACAAATATGAAAGTAATAAATAAGAAAAAAAATGTTTTTATTAACTCTTGAATCAAAAGCTGATGACTGGACTCTCAGAAGAAAAAACATTTCTATAGTAAATGTTCAAAAACATTTTAACCAACTTCCATGCAATGGTACAAACGAGTTTCCATTGCCGCCCACACATGGTTGAGAATCTCGGGAGTAATTTCTCTGCAATTCCTCATGATATTCTCTCTCGAGTCCTCTAATGCTGATGATTCTATCTCAAACACTTCAGACTTCAAATGACTCCATAATTATAAATTTACAGGAGTGAGGTCCGGAGATCTTCGTGGCCATTCTGTAGGACCTCTTCTGCCAATTCAGCGACCAGGAAAATGATCATCCAAAAATGGTCGCACTGGAGCTGCATAATGACGAGGTGCAACATCCTGCTGAAAAACTATTTCGTTTTCGAATAAATTCATATCCTCATCAATTGCCATATTGATGCATAGTATTATTCGATTCTCCAACATATCCAAATATTTATCACAAGTCAAATTACCATCGATAAAGAAAGGTCCTATGAGGTGGTCATCTAAAATTCCTGCCCAAACAATCAGTTTTTGAGGTCGCTGGGTATGAACTTGATGGCATGAATGAGGATTCGTATCACCCCAATATTGACAATTTTGCCGATTCACCTCTCCATTCGTACTAAAGTACATTCATCCGAAAAACAAATTTTATGAAAGAAATTATGATGCAAGTTGATCCGTTCAGTGAGACTTTTACAAAACTCGATTCGTCTATCGGAATCGTCTTCGTTCAATTCATGAACTAGTCTAATCTCATATGGATGAAATTTGTACTCATGATGGACCCTGAAAACATTTGTACGACTGATTTCTGATTCTCGAGATGATTTAGTAAGATATTGCGAATTCTCTATTAGTCCAACGTGCTCTAAAACTGCAGTACAAATACCTTCATCGTTGACAATTCCTGAACGATTATGGTTTTTATTGTTAACAGATCCAGTTTCCATAAATTTGTTCCATAAGTCCGAAACGTATTTGTGTCGTACATTTCTCCCTGGATGATTATCATTGATCATACGGGCAGCAGCTCTAGCACTATTTCCATTCTGGTAGTACAAACTCACCATTTCAATCCGTTCTCGAAGCGTATGAACCATTGCTTCTCAAGAATTCACAAAAACAGAAACACCAATTGTAACTTCATCAGGTAGGTAATCAATGTGGGTATACCACAGGGAACAGTAGTTGGCCAGTCATAATGTGTATCATGCTGATGATACAGACATGATATTCACTGGTGAAACGTGGGATGATATCTACAAAACTTCTTCTAAATGTATTAACATTTAGTGGAAAAAATTAGGTTTTCATCAGATGGCTTCACAGACAAGATCTCTAGTCTATCTGTAGAGAATTTGATAAATAACTACTGGAGAATAAAAAAATTGTCCACCTCTTGCACATGCTTTTATTAAGATAAAGTCTATAGGAGCCTTGTCAACAACCGATAAGATCCCTCTTTATCATCTTAACTCACAAGAAATAGTGCTCAAGCCCATTCTCTTAATTTCCCAATATTCGAAAACTTCTAGCGTAAATAATAACCTCATCAAAACCTTGCTGAGTGACTATAAACCTTATGTAGAAATTATTTACACTGATGGCTCCAAAACTGAGTTAGGTACTGGATGTGCTTATTACGTTTCATCCACCAAAATGGCTCACAAAGTCCGAATATCTAATGATGCACCTATCTATTCAGCTGAGATTTACGCGATAGAGAGGGCATTACTGTGGAAAACGAGCAACAGGGTGAGCAAATCAATTATCTTGTAAGATTCCAAATCGGCACTAGATTCTATCAGTCTTACAATCATGAAAAAATATGACAATGTATTGCTTTGTAACATCAGAAGACACATACATTCTATCATTTCTTCTTCACGTAGAGTTAGATTCGTTTGAGTGAAAAGTCATGCTGGAATAATGGACAATGAGTTGGTCGATCGCGCAGCTGAAGAAGCTACCCACTTAAGTGAAAAAGAAAATATATATACCTCTCTAGACTTGATAGCTAACTTAAAAAAATTCATAAAGAAAAATGGCGAGATAATTGGGATAACTATGCTATCAAATCTAATAATCCTTATACTCTTGGATATACCCCATTCTTCCCAAGACAAATCCACATATTGAATTATATATAGTACCAAGGTGTTATGCCGTCACAATAAAGTAATACATCTAAAGGAGTTCTGAGCCAAAATTTCATGTATTTTCTTATGGAGCTTCATTCTGGCGTCCAGGCCCAGTTAACACGGAAGGGACAAAAGTCAGCGCCTCGTCTCTGCCAGACGTTCATCATGTGTGAACTGAGTCTTAGCCTTCAGCACCCACTCCTCCACTTTTCGTCATTATCTAGTCGATTAATCAAAAGCTACCGCGCATACAGCTGGAAATTCAAACCAGTAGATGAACAAGGCGGGTTCTGGCACACTTCGAAGTCTTGGCAAAAGCATAACTCCAATGCCAATCCTCACACACACACACACACACACACACACTTATTAACATTTTACTCGATTTAGATGAACAGCCGCATATCAAATGAAGTACACAAGAAGTTTCAATTAAATGAACCATTATAAAAAAATATTTGGATATTGTTACTGACCAACATACATGGGACAAACAAGCATCATATTCAACACAACTCACGCGAAAAGTTTATAATCTCAGTGATATTCTCTGATAAAACACTTATTTCCAATGTATCATTCCTTGGCAAAATCCATAATGCCGATGAAGATGTGCAACCCCAACCGATGTCCCGGAATCCAAATGGAATGACGAGATAAGTATTCTGTCGTTAGCAAAGCAATATACTGAATTACTGATGTATATCAATAAGTCGTTGATATACAATTAAAAGAGGGTTGGCGACAATATAGATCTCTGGGAAGCATACCAGCGTTGATGGTAGGTAAAATTATTCGATATCCACCGATGGAACGGTCTTTCAGGAAGCTGGAGAGCCATACACAAAAATTCTCTGACAAGCCATGGCATCGAAATTTGGCCAACAAACCGTCATGCCACACACGCTGATAGTACTTGATAATATCTATGAACAAATATGAAAAGTATCTGAGTGCAGATGTTCAAGGGCCACCGAGATTATTGAAATCGATACCATACTCTTCCATACTCCAGCAAAAAAAGCAGAGAGAAAAATTAACCTTTTATATGGAAAACTCACTTGTTGGAATATAGTTGTTGAACGATGAAATTATTGTTCATACAGATATAAATATGTTCATGTTGAACTCCTCTATCTGATATCAGAATCAAATTTTTCCGAACATAATCAGTCCCACTTCCAACATCGCTTTATAGCTGTGAATTCGGTGACAGATATGTCAAAAATTGATAACCTATGAATACCAAAATTCACGTTCAAATATTTGACCCTCCTTAAATTCAACATGTCTTTTGAATACTATACAAATTGGTGGATAGTAAATAAAAAGCAGCTTGAAGACGTTTATATGAGAGATGAAATCTTTCGGAAGAAAGCTAAGCCAATACCAAACAGAAATCTCGCAAATATGCTTTTGGGAGGTCTGTACGCCAAGTATTCCTTACTAGTGCAAGAAATCGATGGTTGTTTAGACCAAATGGCTCAACCCCAGAAGAGAAAAACCGTGAAGAAGCTTCTGGATGCAGCAATAATAAGGCTCAGTGAACTGAATGACCAGTTGAAAACAATCGACTTTTCCGAGTTCCACTACATCGATGGTAGCCTGGTTGAACTCAAACTGATACCGTATGATGTCGAAATTCTTCATCCTTCAATGTTTTTCTCAAGACCTATATATATTGAAGATATGTGGCAAAAACTTCAAAAGGGTGAAAAAATATTTGTCTCTCCTGAATCTGAAGAACCAACGCATGATGCAGATGAGTCTGAAAAGGTAGTACAGCCAGAAGAAGTTGTCGAAGAGGGAAAAAAATCTAAAGACAAGAAAAGTAGACGTCCTAAGACCATAATTGTAACGGAAGACAAATTAGCGGTATCAGAGGAAGAAATGGAGGAGATTAAACGTAAGCAAGTCATCACTAACAGCATAAATATGATCCAGACCGCTGAAAGAGCCAGGCAAGAACGAATGTACTTCTTCATAAAAGTCCAAATATTCAGAAGAAACGAGGCAGCGAAAAAACTTGCACAACTCCATCCCCAGTCACAGAAAACACCTCAAATCGAAGAAGCAGCCAAGACTCCTCCATCTCCGATAAAAATACAGACTGCTTGGCGGGGACACAGTGCTCGTGAACTGATGAAATTCAAAGAACTCGAAAGAAGAATGCTCATCAAAATGTATGAACCGAGTTGGAGATCGAAGAAAGAATTCGAGATATTCGAGAAAAACCTGAACAAACGGAGGGAATACAGAGACCAACGAATTCGAGAGTATATTCAATCAATCGATCAGGAAAAAGCGAGAATTCTCAGAGTCGTCGCTCCCGGCCTAATGGAAGACATCGGAGATGAAATTAGGGAATGGTTCCGTATTTGGTACGTTGAAGCTAGGTTATTCGATAAGTATCCTCCTGAAGAAAAAGGTGGTACTATATTAGTGGTCAGGGGAGAAACAATGACCCCCAAAGAGTATTTGGATGAATATGAAAGGAAAAGAAGAGAAAAAGTGAAAGCAGGCGGTGCTGATAAACAGAAAGAGAAAGAAAAATTAGAGAAGCTGAAAAAGGCAGAGGCGGAGAAGAAGAAAGAAGCCGAAAAAAAGAAAAAAGAAGCGGAAGCCAAAAAGAAAAAGAAGAAGAATCCTGGTGAATTTGAATTTGAGTACACGGATACTGCTGCGAAAACTATTTATGATGAAGGTATGAAAGAACACAAAACAATATGGGATGAGCGCAACGATTTTGAAAATCCCCTGGAGAAACACTATATGGATATGATAACCGAAGAAAAATGCTACGAGGTTCAATTAGAAGTCAGGAAAAAGATTGACGAGCTGATGAGAATAGAGTTGGAAATGCTAGAAGATGCTCTAGAACAAGACAAAATACGACTCACGGGTAAAAAGGGTAAAAAGAAAAACAAGAAAAAGGGAAAGAAGAAAAAGAAGGGTAAGAAAGGAAAGAAGGATCCAACAGCCAACAGAACAACAGAAGATTTATTTCAAGAGCTTTACGACAACGGCATCATAAGAACTTATCCTTCCACCAGACTAGACCAGTTTGGAGGAGACTTCAGCTACACGAATTGGGAGCTCAGAAATAAGGATTTCGATCCACCAGCTACCCTCCTTGATGTCAGGCAAGCTGTTGTTATGAATTGTATCGCGCCTCTGGGCGTCGAAGTGATGAAAAGACCTAGATCAGTTTTGATTGCCGGACCAAGACAGAGTGGAAAACACTTATTAGCTAATGCAATATTCAATGAAACTAAATGTGTCCTATTCGATCTGTCTCCAGAAAGAACAGCAGGAAAATATCCTGGACCGAAAGGAATGAAAATGTTCATACATCTGATCAATAAAATGTCAAAATTATTAGCTCCCTCTATAATATATTTCGATGGAGCTGAGAGGATATTCTATAAGAAGGTGCCTAAAGAAGAGAAGGAACTGGATCCAAAACGAATTGGAAAGAAACTCATGAAAGGAATCATCAAAACCATCACCCCAGAAAACAGGGTTTTAGTATTAGGTGAGTAAGAATTTTTAAATTTCACTTTCGTTTCCATATTGCCAAGTACAATCATTGGTGAATCTGAAACTTAGTATAATTGGTCTCATGATTTTTTGTATAATAACTAGAATCTGGAAACTATGGCGTAAAATGACTAACTCGATACTAAGTATTATGGTGATGTGATGGGATTGCAAATTGTTTCTCAAATTTCTCAACAGAATATTCAAAATGATTCCCTGATATCAATTATAACACCCCAATCAATATACAGGGCTATTCGAATTCGTTTCTCTACATGGGGATCTCGTAAACGATAAGAGATAGTATGTCGGTTGAATTATGGCAAAGTTGCGTATTTTGAAAACCTATTGGTTAATTGGCCTCATAATTTCTTGTATAATAACTAGAATTTGGAAACTATTGCATAAAATGACCAACCCGATACTAGGTACTATGGTGATGTGTGTTTTTCAAATTTCTCGACAGAATATTCAAAAAGATCCCCTAATATCAATTTATAACACCCCAATCAATATAAAGGGCTATTCAAATTCGTATTTGTACAAGAGAATCTCGTAAACGATAAGAGATAGAGTGTCGGTTAAATCATGGCAAAGTTGCCTATTTTAGAAACCTATTCAATGATGTGAAGAAATCGAATATAGCTCTTTTGGTTCTGGAGATATACAGGAAAAACCAAAAAATCCCAAATCATCTTTTGCCTGTATCTTCTCTAACAACAAGTTACCAGTACTTGTTAAACATCCTGCTAGAAGCAATCAATTAAAAAAAAAAAACATCAAAAATATACTTGTAGATCTAGAACCGTATTGTTTTGAGGATTTTTCAAAACATCAGTTTTGAAATATACCCAATTGTGTGTGACGTCATTTTACATGTTGTAATTATTTTTCATACAAATATTTGTGGCATTTTCCAAAATAAACATTATTATTATTATTATTATCATTATTATTATTATCATTCGCAGACATATTGAAAATCTGTTCTTATTTCGATATTGGCACTTGATGTGGGCTCTCAGAATATATCCATGAATCTTTTATACAGGGTGTCATCTGACTTGGGCCACCTCATCTTTGAATTTTTAAATACGGACCTGTATTTTTTGTTGTAGTTTTTGGATCGTAGACATTCACTTCATACTGAGAAATTAAATTCAATTTTATATTTCGGAATTTTTCGGTAATATTCGATTATAATTGTATGAATTATTCCCTTTTGAATTACGGCCCTGGAAATTGGTTGACTGAGTTGAATAAAAACACAATGGCAACTTTCACGTCTCCCTATGTACTGTAGAGTTTTTCGAGAGTTTTTTTCATTTTTAGGTATCTACCTATTCATATTTTTTCCATTGCTCTGAGCGTTTTCTTCAATGAACTTCGAATACGAAAACCTTTTATGAGCATCTGAAACATATCTACAACAAAAATATATTATATATGTTGATATGTCACATCCGAATTGAACACTATATTCATTGAGGAATTGGACGCGGTGGTAGTACGCCCGACTCACGATCGGAAGACCATGGGTTCGATTCCCGCCTCGACCAGATATTTTCTTCGAGAGAATTTATCTGGTTGAAGCTGGAATGATTCTGCAACCGTATTAGGAATCACACATTGAAAGGTAAGACCTCGTTAGTCCTTAGCTCGCACAAGTTTCTCAACTTCTGAGAGTTGTCGTTCGTATGGGGGCCACAGCTGATTAACGGAAAAACAGATTTCCAAACAGATTTTTTTTACAGATCATAATGAAAATTGAAATGAAGTAAGTAATTTATATACACAAAAAAATAATTGTGCAATAAATGTTCGAATTGGAGTCCTTCCATTTCGAGACAAATAATAAGGACCAGGAGAAAAATCTAAGCTCAACAGTAGGATTTCTGACTGGCCACTGTCAACTAAGGAAAAACCTCCACAATATGGGGCTAGTGGACACACCTCTATGTAGGATGTGTGAACAGAAAGAAACTGTCAGGCATGTCCTATGCGAATGTCCGGAGTTATCATCGTATAAAGGAGATGTCTCCCAGAGCCATGTCCACCTTCCTGGAAGGGACAGGATGGACGATGACCTAGGAGGACAACTGCTCGGGAAGAAGGACAATGCGTCACATGTGGCATACGTGCTGTGGGCCTACATTCACCCTCTCTACTCTACAGATACAGATACAGAAGTAGGTTTCCTTACCGTTTTGGATGGCTTGATAACTGATCAGTCGAGATCGTTTTATGAATAATCAACCTGGTTTTTCTATAGAAAAGTCTACAGTCACCAATCAATTGGTGTTCGAGCAAATTATCATAGAGGTACTGAAAGGAAAGGTCAGATGGGTGCAGTCTATACAGATTTGAACGTGTTGATCACATAATATCATTACCCAAGATGAGATTATTTGGTTCCACAGATCTGTCCCAATCATGATTTGGAAGCTTCTTGACTGGCTGATCTCAGCAACTTCACCTCTTGTGTTCAACATCTATTTTGATGTTTTGAAAATTCAAAATTTTTAATGTTCGCAGATAATCTTAAAATTATCAGACCAAAAGAATCATTAGACGATGTCACTATGTTAAAACATGATTCAAATTGATTGGATAGGTGGTGTATTGAAAACAATTCACATAAGAACATCACCAAATGTAGTTCTATCAGGGTTCACATAGTAAATAGTGAATTCTACACCTCATACTACTTGAATGATCATCCACCAAAACACGTGTCACTGCAATAGAGGATCTAGAAGCAATTGCGATTTGTAGATCATTTAAATCATATTGCTGTCAATACATTGAAGCTATCGGGCTTTATATTACAAAACTACAACCAATCATCAATCAGTTCAGTGAAGAAGGTGTATCTTGTCCCAATAATCTCCCGCTTAGAATATGACTCGATTATTTGATCACCATTTTTTAGACTGGGTCCAACATGAATTCCTGACACTATTTTTTGCTAAAATGAAATGAATATGCACTTTCATAATCATGATTATGCAACTTTTTAAAAAGTCCTAACCTTGATTCGTTAAGCAGAAGAAGAGAGAATGCTGAACTACATCATTATCTACATCTACAAATCATTAAATGGCTTCATTACATGCCCGGAACTTCTTGAGGGGATTCAGAACAGAAAACTGTACACACCTCAACAAGTTTTGATGCTTTATGAAGCTCAGATCAGAATTTCTTTGGAGTATTGTTCATATGTAAGGAGCTGCGCCACTAAGTATACCCTGAAGCTGCTGGATTCCATCTAGAAAAGAGCCATCCGCCTGATTGGAGACACGAAAATCGCGGACTGCTCATTGAGGTCGAACCCAGCAGACCTCGAACTTACTGTTCAAGAACTATTTCATTTGAAGAACTGCTTTCATGTGGAATGAAGTTTCTGGGAACGTTTTTCCAAATTAATTCAGTCTCTAACCATTCAAACCTAACTTGAATCGCTACTTTCGCACAGATGCCACTCTTAGACGTTAGGTTAGGTGAGGTCCAAGGTGAGTGGGTCTATTCGACACTCCACCTCAACCCGCAAGGGTTTATTGTGGCTCACACTCGACCAAATAAACCCAGCTTCTTAACGAAGCCAATTACTTTGTATGGTGAGTGGTTTTTCAGATGGTAAGAGTACGGCTCTGTCGAACTCTAAAAACTTGATTCGGTCTCCAGCGGGGCAGGCACAAAGTATGTGCTCTATTGCTTCATCATTTTCCAAACAGAGACGACACACACTGTCTTCCGACAGTCCGAGTCTCTACATATGATGATTCAAATGACAGTGACCTGTGAGAAGGCCTGTTAGACATCGTAGCTCATCTGTAGTCCAACAACTGTTTGGTATCAAACCTCGAAGGGTTGATGAACGTCTTGGAGAATTTTCCTGTAGTGCTTGTGTATTGTCTTTGAAAAAGTTAATGAATAAACTTTTCCCACACCAGAAAAAAATGATACACCTGATAATGCTAACGGTTCTGACGAAAGGTGCTAAACTGCTGTGTAAAAAGTGTTCTCAACTGATTAATTTTTTGTTTATGAATATTCACGACTCGCTTTTCGAATCACATAAATGGACATTCGAACATTGTTTCATTCCTATTACCTCCACGAGAATAACGGTTAATTTGCTGAATCCAATATGTCTCCATTCATTCTTGACAATGATCAGTAATCCATACCAATTATTCATTAATGAATAATAAACGAGCAAATAGCTTTCATGATATGCAGTATTTACTCTTTCGTTAGTACATGATTTTCGGCGGTTTTTATTCGATGAACCGAGCGATTAAATATGGTATTAGGTTTCGATTTTGCGTGATAAACTGCTGATGCCGAAGCTTCGTCCATATTTACGTAAGTGGATAATGATCGGGATACTCGTGAAACGTTTGCTATGGTGTTAAACGTGAACGGGTTCTGTTCTTTTTATGTCTCATGAGATTAGTGGGATTAAAATCGAACCCCACTTTCATTATTTATCTTTGTTGAATCGTCAAATTTGTTTTAATATATTTTTGTACTCCAATTCTAAACAATAAAAAATGATTATTTTGTCGACTTTCTTTCGGTAATTTCACCTTCCACAATCTGAAAAATATAAAAATTGTAATGGAAAATTAATACAGGTGTGAAAACGGCAAAATTTTCAATGCGCCACGACGAGTTATTGCTTAAGTTCAAAGTATTTTCTGCCAAGAAAAATCTTTTATTCATCAATAACTTGTCAGATACATTAATTTTAAAACTCTTCTGACATCTGCCGGGGAAGTTTAGAAATCGAGAGAATTGGCGAAGAGAATTCGCTAATATACCCAGATTTTTTCGTATTCGAAAGACATAGACATAAATTAGCTCGTAAAACGGTAAAGTAAGTATATGTATAATATTTTGGGTCAACAGACCCAAAAATCAAATCCGCGATGGTACGAGAAACCCATTCTTCTTGAAAGGGCCATACATTGTACAGGAAACCAACTTACG